GGGCGGTTCTTCCTGCTGTCTTTTGCATCTAAACTACAAGTGTACAATTTTAAATAAGTTTTAGAAGGACGCGTTGCATGTCAGACTGTGAGCCAGTGACATTTGTTGAATAATAAATGATGTGCAACAGGATGCTACAATAAAATATTATCCTTTCATTTCTTCACAAACTCTACACAATGTCTGCACCTGAAATTATCACTAGAGAAACCGGAGAACAAATAACAGAGTACACAATGACTACACATCCAAAAACTTTTCATCACCTTTGTCCCATTCTGGAATACTGAGATTAAAAAATTAGTTACTGCTTTGACCATAGCAATGCATAACATGAGATGAGTGTGACATCAGCAGATGGCTATACTCTGATGAGAAGCCAAAAGGTTTCAAGGACCAGCAGTCAGACACAGTACGCGATGACACTCAGCAGCAGCCTGTCAAACAGTTCATGTTTGCAGCAAGCAAGGCACTGACAAGCAATGGACTTCATATAACGATATGAAACACAGCTAAGTTTAAGGAATCAAACTTTGATATTCATTAAGTAATTAGGACAGATATTACTAATGAATGAAAATTTTATTTAAAGTACATTCTTACCACATTAAGTACACTAAATATTTTGTTCCATCAACTGGTTAATGAAAAATAATGATCTTTATTTATATACTGTTTCACTGTAGCATGTTTGTCAATAAACTAACAAGAAACACAATCAATGAAAAGATTCTGCAGTATTATCACTCAGAACTTTTGAACTTAATCCCATGAATATTTTGAGAGATCAAACAACCTTACAAAAATTAGTGACCTATCCAAAGGTACCAGTTAATTTGAAGGTGTTAGATTTCCTACAAAATGCTTGACATTATTTCAAACTACAGTTAACATATTGGATTTTAGGTTCTCATAGAAGTGATTATGAAGATTATATTCTGGGGTGTAACACTGTGTATGGTTTTGATATAAGTTTCCAAGGAATGTACTGCCTCCATTTTCAGGGTCAAAGAACATGATAAGATAGCTACTAGTAAGAAGCAAGCAGCAGGTACAGTAAGCTGCAATGAGTTGATCTTACTGGTTCTCCTTTACAGGCCAGTATCTAAACCACATATTCCAGACACAGCTCACTCCTTGCTTAACCTACGCTTTGACCATGAAGATTAAGGCAGTAAGTTCTTCCAAAGTGCCTACAAACTCCCAACACATTCCACAATACAGTACTCTTTACAGTTAGTGTAATTTGTAACAAGTTTTTTCTCTAAACTCCCTCCTTTCAATATAGTTTTATGAATACTTCAGTGTTACATCAAAAGAACTGCAACTTCAGTTCACCTTGCAAGATCGGAGCACTTGATTTAAATTCTATAAACCTGACAGAAAGGTTACCAGAAGTCCCCTCAGGGTTGCAGGAGATTATTTTCTCTGAAACTGATAATCTCTTGACTTTAAAGTGGTCATTAATTAACTATACTTTCTTGAGCAAATGAACTGTTCCTTTTTATAGTTCTCAAGGAAGTGTGGTGAGACTTCTGCAGAATTAAGAAAGTTTCTTTGTTAGTGTAATACTATCACAAAATATATTATAAACTCTGACTGTGATACCTAAACATATTCTTAATATTCTGAATCAGGATTTCTGCATACTAAGGGGGAAATGTTATTTCATTTGTTTCTTCCACTCTTTGTTCTTCTTTCTTTAACAATGCTTTCTCAACTATGTATTTTGTAGTATCTAAAAAGGATGATGGTTCTGACTGATGATGAAAAAATGAAGTAGATGTGGTCTACATCAAGAAGTGAGCAGTATCCAAAATTTACCAGAAGGGCTGAAAAAGACTGTGAAAAACCTCAGTGAGTATAACTGGCCTCTGGGTCAAGAACAGAACCTGGGATCTCCTGAATATGAAGCAGTAGTGCTAACCACTAGATGACAACATTCAGTAATTTTCACAACTCTGAATGCAACTGACCGAGATCAGAAATATCCAAATTCATTTCTTGCAGCATTATTAAGAATTTCAGACATAATGTGTCTGTACAAGTCACTGTACAAGTTGACAACTGGCAGGAGGGATGAAAATTAAAGTGTGACCAACTATAGCTCTGAATTTGATTGAGTCGTATCAATCTACAAAATGCACACCAATATTAAACCAAGAGATAAACTTCAATAAAAATTACATTTAAAATTCCTATCTTATCTTGTCTCTAGACGCAAGCCAACAGTTCCTTCCATGGCCCAAGCTGTCACTACTGCAGTTAAACCCATGTGAAATATTGGTCTGTGTTACAAAGTCAAGATATCAACCTCATTCACATTCTGTGACTTGAAATTTTTATGGCAGTGGAACTTACTGCTTGTACTTTCATGGTAGGGACCAGCAGGACAACTAAAACATTAGGAACCACCTCAAAATTATATGCTTGCACAACCCAGAAGACCACAATGTAAACTGCCCACACTCTTGCAGTTAATGCTTCCTCTTTCTCTCACTACTGAGTACGGTCTCTATCTTACTTTTCTGTGTTACTGGCATGACACGACCAGCACCAACCATGCACTTACCAACAACAGGCCCTGCTGGAAATCCACGTTTCTTCAGTTCACTGTACAATTCTGCATCAGTCAGATTTTCAACACAAGCAAGTATTCCCGACATACTGAAAATAAATTGTGCTAAAATTACAAGTCAGAATGACAATAATTTCATTGTGACATATTACACTTGTTTATGTTAGGTGTTTAAACTCTATATAAAGCCAAAATTTAATTCATGGTTTACATAATCACTGTATCATAACGTTTCAGAACATCTCCAATGAATTCAGTGCACTGTCTATTTAAAAGAAGAAAATGGAGCCCAGCAATTCCAAGATGGTATCATAATCATGCAAGCTGTCAAGGGATCGTAAAGATAAAGTAAAAAGGTAACGCTTGTAACATGCCTTGGAGGCCCACAGGGTTAAGACATCAAGGCTCCTTGTGCCAAACCTAATGTTCATTTTTCTTAGCTCAGGTCATTTTAGCCAAATAATGCATCAAAGACCAAGTCCCTGTGTAACATTTTGTAACAAAACGATGTTTTTACTGTGAGTTGTCAGCCCAACCCCCAAACTAGGGAGCACCCCTTGTTGCTGGCCCACAACTTCTTATTAAATATATTCTCAGCTAGCCTCCATACCTGGAGGCTGTCCCATACATCCACAACCCAAGGGCATGCAATACCATGGTGACTAGGGGAAAAATTTCTAACAGCCCATCTTCTACACAACAAAAATCCAAAGTTTGAATATTTCTTCCCCACAGCAGTGACAGATGTTCTTTATTAAACCTCTACCAATTGCTTCTTTGCTGTGCTTAAGAGTCCACTGGAATTTGAAAAGACTCCACAAAATACAATTACAACACTAATGCCAAAGTAAAAAATGCTTATGTCGAACTAATTGTCTTTCAAGGCTCTCACGTTAAGAAAAAAAACTGATAATACAAAAAAGGTTATTATATGCTGATTTAAAAGACTATACAGTTCCCCTCTTCACGTATTTGCTATCTACAAACGTAACTGGTTCCAATATTATATTTAAGCATCCTGTTGCACTCTATACGATAAATGATACAAATTCCGTCCCAAGTGCAAACAATATATATTATATGTCTTTGATCTTGTTCTTTCTACACTACATGTTTCGGCCTCTATCGGCCATCATCAGGTGTATACTCTTAACGTTGCTGCCACACTGAACCCGGTCTAAAATTTAACATTTAGAAACACAATGTCACATTCTTCGTATTATCAACATCTACATCGTTGATATGTGTCTGGTATGTAGATTATGTTGCACACGTCCAATTTTGATGTTCTTGTAGTAGCACTTTAAAAATCTTTAGTTATGATGTTTTTAAAAACTTTTTAAAATTTTCTCTAAATTTTAAATTTAAAATTTAAAATTCTTAGGGTTACACGCCCTATGTCTAAGTGCTTGAGCGGCTAGTTCTTGTTTTCACACTGTACAGGTGTTATNCGTGTAACCCTAAGAATTTTAAATTTTAAATTTAAAATTTAGAGAAAATTTTAAAAAGTTTTTAAAAACATCATAACTAAAGATTTTTAAAGTGCTACTACAAGAACATCAAAATTGGACGTGTGCAACATAATCTACATACCAGACACATATCAACGATGTAGATGTTGATAATACGAAGAATGTGACATTGTGTTTCTAAATGTTAAATTTTAGACCGGGTTCAGTGTGGCAGCAACGTTAAGAGTATACACCTGATGATGGCCGATAGAGGCCGAAACATGTAGTGTAGAAAGAACAAGATCAAAGACATATAATATATATTGTTTGCACTTGGGACGGAATTTGTATCATTTATCGTAACTGGTTCCATTTAAACGCTTTCATTAAAAAAAAAATACGTTTATGGTATATGTCAGCACTTCAGAAATGGATTACAAGCAACTTCTCTGAATCATTCTTGGTGTTCAACAGAAAACCTAGGACTTATACCCAATAATTAATCAAAATCTTTATTTCAAACCTTGGCAATGCATACACTACCTACATACTGCAATCTAGTTATTCTTTGCCTGTAAAACACATTCTCGCTTTAGTAATACAAATGCGAATTATGCAACATCACTCAGTGATAGCCTAAATTTCCTGTTTCTGGACACCAGTAACGCATATCTAAATGCATAAAATCTTACCGATCTTACCTATACACATTATGTTTTATTCTTAATATGTAATAAATCTCACCGTCCCCACATTAACAACTATATCTTTCTGAGCGGTTGTTACTACACATACACGCGCGCACGCAACAAACATGGACGCTATGGATGCTATGGACCTATGGACAGTGAACCTTCCGGTATTCCTCAGACACGTCCCAATTCGTAGTACGCGTACTAAGCTTTGTAAACGCTACGAACATTTGTTTATATAGCTTCAAGTGGTTGTGTCGCCGAGTATCGACATCCCCCAAGTTCTTCACAAAAATAAAATAGTAATTAGAAAAGTATTAGATCTGAAGGAGTATAAATCTGTGCAATGGTGAACTCGTTTTTAAGTGTTCCTCAGAGAACTCTTCATATTTATGTGCAAGACAGTAACAGAACTACATTCTTTTTCATTAGTTTTATAAGTTTTTGTTTCTAACCGGTACACCCAATATTGTTTACTTTCAATAATCTGACATTTAGGTCTCATAAATACTTGTATTTCACATATGTGCACACAACTAAATTTTCGTCACAGAATTAAGACATGTGTTTGAATTATTGTTTCAGTGTGAATAACCTGGACGTATCCCCCCAACATGCCATTGTTTACATTTACATTTATTTTTACTTCATGGATCCAATCATCGCTCCAGAGTGCTGGATTTAAAACATGTCACATATTACAAATTCATGATGAGTACGCATCATTCGTCCTTTGTCCAATAAAAAATATAATCAGGCCTCTCACAGATAGCTCAAGTTGTCAGGACAACACACATGGGTCGTGGAAAAACCGAGGTCAAATTCATACCTTGCCATTCCACACACACTGGCAAGCCGTATCATTAAAACAGTTACAATTATAAAATATTAAAATTCATAACAAAAACAGACATCGTACATACTACACTTAGAACAAGCAAGTCTCCAGAACTCTTAACTTTTGAACCCCTTTCATGCTTGACAAATTCATCAATAGAGTGAAATACGTTACTTTGCAAATAATTTTGTAAAACAAACTAAAATTGCTTTTATCATTTTTTAAAACTGTGATATTTGATGGCAGAGTTTTAAATAGCTTGACGCCTGAATAATACACCCCTCTTTGGTAGGATGATAATACAGTGTGCTGATGAGGCTGTCTAATACTGTGGCCACATTGCCCGGCATTATCAGTCCAGTCATCGCAGGTTACATTGTGCAAAATAAGGTGAGTGTAGGTATACCAAGCTGAGCATCTGACACTGGTATGAGATTTGAATTTCTCACATCAGGTTGTGGGTTTACAGAATATTACACTATGTAGTTTTGTGCAGAATGCCATGTTCCAGAAAGCATAATCTTATTACTCATTGATATAAGAACTTCAGGCATCATATATTTGAATCTTCCAAAGACTTTTAAAGTCCATGTTTAGACATAAATCTTTTCCACAAATTTAAAATCAGTTCCATGAAAGTGTGCTCCACGTGTAGATGTATCAATCTATAACCTTTCACTGTGCATACATACCTATGTAGGTTTTAAGGACTTCATTGGGAAAGAATCAGGCAAATTTATTCAGATGATAGTGCTTCTTACTTGTATTCAACAGATGTCGGCTTCAAATCTAGAGCAGGATATCAACTGTCCTGACCATATTTCTTGTGGTTTTCCTCAGTCCCTCCAGGAAAATGTGAGGATATGATTTCAGATTAGACCATGACCACTTCTGCATTCTTTCTGATTTGTTCTTCACTAATGTTTATAATCCTGTACTGCATCTGCTGTGGGAATGACAGTGCATCATCAGTTACTGATGCAGACCATTATGTCATCATTAGAAAGTTGCCTGTATATTCTGTCTTCAGCATATTTCCAGTATTTATAGACCGTTAAGAAATTCACACGCACAGGAATTTTCTTCCATATGGTTGTGTACACAAAGTATGACATACTCTGTTTCACAGAGCAGAGGGACTTTACATTGAATGACCTGCAGACGTCACTCTAGACGCCATCATAATATAAACTATAAATATGCAGGAAACGAAAGCATTGTGCTTGACAAGATATCCTGAATTTCATAAGCTCTGTTATGCCACCAGTTATGCCGTGGCGACAGGGGGGGGGCGTGGAGGTGTCCCCACTGTCACCTTCTATCCTGCAGTCACAGGGGGTGTGCTAACAAAACTGCTAAATTACTTCCTCTATCGTTGCTTCATTGGCTAGGGGCACACTGTTCACTGGGCTTGGCTGGAGGGCGCAGGTGCAAAATGTGGTAAGGGAGGAAATCGCAACAACAGAAACCCACATCCTCACCGTATGCTACCCTATATTAGTATAAACAAGCAATATACAGTTATATACATTTTGGCAATATCACAAAGAGCTGACTGGTGTCGGGTTACACATTACACTTTCTTAGACAATTCTTGGACCTTATCTTTCTTTCTCTTTTCACCCAGTTGCGGGTCGCTAGCCTCCTCTTTCTCCTGTTCTACTCGACCACTGTATATATATATATATATATATACACATCCCTGCATCGAGACACACCCTCTGCAGTATCTATATTACACGTGTCTACCTCTGCATCACTCCGTTGGATCACTCTTATGCCCTGCACACTTGTTGTAATGTTCCTAACTCAAGTCCCATTGGAGGGGTTACACTTTAATAATATNTATCTTTCTTTCTCTTTTCACCCAGTTGCGGGTCGCTAGCCTCCTCTTTCTCCTGTTCTACTCGACCACTGTATATATATATATATATATACACATCCCTGCATCGAGACACACCCTCTGCAGTATCTATATTACACGTGTCTACCTCTGCATCACTCCGTTGGATCACTCTTATGCCCTGCACACTTGTTGTAATGTTCCTAACTCAAGTCCCATTGGAGGGGTTACACTTTAATAATATCACAATTATTAAGCGTGGCGATAAGAGTAGGTCCACTTACTTGTTGAGTCTGCAGACGGATGGCGTTGCCGGGTGTCTAGTCGGTGCCCATTCTGACATGGCCTTCGGCCGCAAACGGGCCAAAATTACTGTTTGAATTATCCCCTTACTAATTTGGTCTCTGGGTTATATACCTTTATTCATGCTAACTCATTACTTTCCCGGGGGGTGTAAGTCCGCCTATAATGACGTCTTGTCCCAAGTGGTTGGCTGGAATCCTAAGGGGATGGACACGCCCCTTACTGCTAGACCATTTGGCTAACACTTTTACCTGCAAACGTCCCCCCATCACACAAGTGTAAATTCTGTAGTTAGCAGTTCGATATACATTCAACATCATTCTGCTGACTGGACATTCCCATGTGGCAAGCCAGTGTCCATCTAAGTCCATATGTAGGAATTCTTTAAAGTTTCTTAACCCTTCCTATCCTCTTTCGTACGTCTTACAAGCATTTCAAAAAACTAATTCTATCCTAACCAACATTTTCCCCTAAAATACAAAAAGTTAATACTGTGTTAACATATTACCGGGAGTCGGCCTTCAGGCCACAACAAGCTGCTTTCAGTTCTTCACAGTCTGTTTCTTGAAAGGTCAGCTCATATATGAATATAAAATTCAAGTCATGACAGATGCTATAGCGAAGGCAAACAGGTACAACCTATACCGGATACAATACAGAACATGCATAAACTTTTAATAAAACTAGTTCACAATTTCTTACTCCAGAAATTATGAACCCTAACATTTTTATTTTAACATATAATATCTATTTTGCATTATAACCTTCAGTTTTAATAGTATATTTTGACAGTCTCCAAACTTCGTATGTACAAAAATACCCAGTTCTGCATAATGTTGAAGGCCCTAAATGTTAATACTTTTTTTAACAAGAAAGTTATTTCCATTGATTAAAGTTGATTATTGTAAAACAAAGTAGAGACCTTTGATTTGTTTCATTCTGGTCCGTCACACTAACAATATTACAAAAGATAAAACAACTCCATCCAATGTGACTGTTGGAGTTTTTACTACTTCAATTTTTAACACCCTTACATGTTTCGATCCTTATAGACCATCATCACAGGGACATCTATACTCCTTGGAAACCACTATCCTCCTTTTCCAGCATCTGCAAACAATAAAACGGTGCTTTCCATCAGCCCTCTTATTTCAAAACCTAGTCCTAGGTGGCATGGACCTAAATTTTAAAATTTGGAAAAACATTTTAAAGGAATTTTCTAAAATTGGAACTGAAAATTTTAAAAGTGCCAGTTCATGAATGTCAAAATTGGCGTGTGTGGGTGACAAAGATGATGTACGAATCAGACAAATATCAGCAAAGTAGATCCTGTTAGCCAATCGGGAAGACCTGCATGTTTTTAAAATTTTAAACTGGGTGCAGTGTAACAGCTACGTGAGTGTATACACCTGATGATGGCCGTTTGCAGCCGAAACATGTAGTGTGGAAGAAAGCAAAATGAAAGACCTACAATAAATTGTTGCACTTAGGACGGAATTTATATCATATACAGGGTGTCCCAGGAGGAATATGCCAAACTTCGGGAGGGTGTTCCTTATGTTAAAGTATGCTGATATAACCCAAAACACCTATGTCCAAAGTTGAACGGTTACAGAGATAATATCTAGAGAAGTGTGAAACTTTGACCGGTGTTACACACTTGTTGATTACAAAATACATATTAAAACTGGCAGGAATATGTGGTTTCTGTAATGTTAATAATGTACGTAACATCAAACTAACTTGTGAGTACAAAATACTCGCTTGCCATGTCATAATTGTCCTTAGGGTTTCCAAGCACTATACATGACACATGACTGGCAAGCGCTGATGTAACATGGCTGACTGCACTATAAGCCGACCACATAACTGTATTAAACGTACATTCACGGAAAATCTCTTTTGGAATTTCGTTTCCATTATATCATGTGGATTATTATGGGACCACATGCACATTTCGTAAATTATTTACACTGTCCAGGGTAAAAGACACTGAATAAAATGACGGGATGAGCTTTTATCCAGTGGCACAAATCCATACGCTGTGCATGGTCGCCTGGTTCCAGATGTTGTACCATTTGATCATGGTAAGAATAACTCTTCATGATGTAAAGTTTGCCACACCTGAATACGTGATACGCCGATGCGAGAGGCGATTCTACGAGTGATAGACGCGGACTTCACTGAACAATATCAAGAATGTGCTCTCGTGTGTCTATCATTCGTACATCCTGCCTTTCAGAGTGCACNACTCGGAAGAGAACCAATATCACGCAGTGTCTTGTGAATTCGCGTAAATACACTTCGAGATGGAATTCTTCAATCGGGAAAACGCCTTTGGTACTCTTCAACAGCAGCACATGCATTGCCACCACTAAATCCATACACAAAATTCAACGTGTGAAAACAAAAGGCATTTCAGCAACTTCGCACAGCTAATTACCAACCATTCATGACGCAGCTGCAACGTACTCTGTATGTAGCACATAAGCTTATGGCTAGTGTGAATCAGCGCACTCAAGGACAAACATAGATAAAGCGTCTCAGCTGACAGGTATAGTGCGTGGACCCGCCAGAAGACCACACTTTTCTTGGGCCATTATCTCCGTAACCGTTCAACTTTGGACATCGGTGTTTTGTGTTTAACATAAGGAACACCCTCCTGAAGTTTGGCACATTCCTCCTGGGACACTCTGTATGAAATAATTACATTAGCAAATCATCACCTTGATTCTTAATGGTTCTACCTCAAGTTTTCATTGTTTTTCAGGTTATAGAAGTGATTAGTTCCTTATGGTGTAAGTGCGGTATATCCATGATCAAACTGAGTAAAATCACAGCAGAAATTAGAGAAAAATAATTCCCTTGTGTTCTGTCTCCTGTGTTCAACTATTCATGTTTCAGACTTTTATCTGTGTTTTCTCTGTTCCACAAAATGTGGAGATAGAACTAATAAGAATTAAAGTAGCAGAATGAAATGTCACGATGGAAACAACTTTTACCATCCTTGTCGACTGTCCTCATTTTTTGAAGAATGTCACTTTATGTTCAGTCATTGCCCACCGACCATTAGCTTCTTTCTAGTAGTAAAATAAAACTTGTATCATTACTGCAAATGTTATTTTTGTCATTATTGCTCTTGTTATTCTTGCTGATTCTGTAACTGGCACCTGGATGTTGAGTTCAGCATGTCACTAAATAAAGAACTGGATTAGATTAAATTATATAATTGTACAGCATTTAC